TATATATATATATATATATATACAAAAACAAACTTACGCGATTTGCTTTCAAAATGAGTGTATAATTACTACAGTCTTTATAAACAAAACTCAAAAAATTCAATACAAAATTAGAAAATGGTATCAATCTTAACTCTAGTATGGTATTGTTATTTTTGATTACCTTCCCGCTAACAAACTCGAGTTTGTAAGATCCTGCTTTGTCACGCTATATTTCTGAACTGGATATGTATTTTTTAACTCAAAACGTGTGAAATTTATACCTTGAAGTCAGACAAAGACAGATAAATTTGAATTGTAATAGACATCAAAATTGCTACTAAAGTAGCTGATACCGAAGTAATTTCTTAAGTGGTCCTTACAATTTTTCAAATTAAGTTGTCAAAATAAATTAAAAATTTGTTTATACAAATTATGTTATGTTATGTTATGTTATACAAAATAAAAAATATTTTACTTACATTTAGAACTTCGCTCTCTGTAAATTGTCAAATTGTTCTACGTTCTCCATGAATTGCGAAGCACGTTTTCAACGGTATATATAAGTCTCGATTTATAAGTCTATCCCTACTTGAAGATATCCCCTCCTTTTAAGGAAACCGAAACATTGTATAAAATCAACTAAGATAAAGTTTGACCACTAGCAGTGTTATCATTTATGCGTCATTGTATTATTATTATTGACGTAAGATCGAACTACAAAATTATACACATTTTTCACAGATTTTTAATGGATTAGTACACTGAGAAAGTACACTGAGGAGATCTATTCTAAATTTTAAAATGTAAAAAAATAAAGTGAATGATTAGCATGAATAGTCTTCTTGAATTTATTAGTCAACAAAATTTTCCATTTGTCTTTCTTCGTGTTTTCTCATTTTTGTTTTAACGTGTAAATTTTTTAATCTTTATATTTTTTATATTTTGCAATACTTTCATAATTCTACTCATGTTTCTTGATTGCTGGATTATTAATTGTTTATGTCATATAATATTATGATAATATCAGTAAATTATCATCATTTATTAATATGATAATTATTATATCGATTCCATAGCCTGAACGTACGATTTCACGGAAATATACACAAGGACGGTCAACATAATATATACATACATATGCATGCTTTACACGGAACATTGCTTGCATACACATAGTCTATCGGTTGCATACGAAGACAATAGGGGAATATTATTTATTCAGATACGGTGAACGCTAAAGTCACGTTATCTTTTTTCTAACAATTACTTAAGAAAAAGATAACATGACTTTAACGTTCATTGTATTTGAATCCATTATTGCAAAAACTTCCTAATAGCCATAGACTTTTTAAATGCATTAATTTCTTTTGACTTTTCAAGTATCATTGCTTTACAATTCGCCAACAATTTAAAACAATTTACAATTTAAAACCAAATCAAAATAAGTTTGTAACTTACATTATTATGTAATTTCCAATTATACATTCCAACTCATTATTTAAACAATTGTTTTTCGCAAATTTAAACAATATTATTTAAAATTGTACGCTCTAAATCTGAACCAGTGATATAGTCACTAATTATCCAGTGGCATACTGGATAATCAGTTCAACTAAAGAGAAAGTTCAAAAAGAGGAAGAATGTTTGAACATTAAATGTATGTAAAATAATATATGTATCTAAATTGTATAATTATATGTATCTAAAATATGATATGCTCGTTAGTTTCAACATCATATTCATTGAATTTATACATTAAAACAAAGTTAGTTAGATCACATAATAAAGATTAGGTTGGGAATCTCTATTCTCTATTTCATTCATTGGCATATTTGGCACTGATATCAGTGATTATTCACTGATTCAGATTTAGAGAGTAAAGTGATAAATAATGATGAATAACAAGCATCCGTAGAAATAACCGGGAAATACCAGGGGACTCTTGCACAACGCATAATGCAAGTATAATAAAAAACCGAATCAATCAAATCATTTATTTCCATGAAATAGAGAACCCTGATTGATCGATTTTCTTATGCCTTATGCTTTATGCAAGAGTCTTCCCACTATTTTATGTACTTATGAAATTTTGAGAAGAGTACAAGCGATCGAGAGCGTAAAATCGAGGATTCGATCGGCAGATTTTACCGCGTTTAGAAATTAGATGTAATTTCTTAGTATTAAGTAAACATTTTTAAAAACGTTCGAGAATTACAATATCAACTACAAAGATAATTGCAGTATGCAAAAAATGTTTATTGAAATCAAAGGATTCCAAAACTACAATGTACGTTGAATTTTGCTATCCATTTAAAAATAAACATAGTAGTGATATGTTTGAAGAATGCTATACTCATTTGAAATATAAAAAAATCGATGTTATCCTCGATGCTAATACAGACATCACAATCATCATCAAAAGTACACCAAAAACAAACTCATACACTAAAGATAATTTTGATCATCCCGGTAAAAAATTTTTTATACATTAATATGTATAAACATGTATAAACACTCATAAATATTCACACTCATAATATAATTATACGTGAAATACGCCCATACATCTCTTTCTTTTGTAAAATTACTTTTTAGTGTACTAAAAATAATAACAATATTGAGAAAACATAAAAAATAGTTAATAGGACAATTTTCGCATTGCTTATTTTAGAAAAAAATCAAGGAAAATGCGAAAAAATTTTTCCATATATATAATGTATAATTTTACATGCAATTATATATAATTCTCCAAACTTGATTTTTTAACAAACAATGCGAAAATTTTTCCTCTTATTTTTGATATTTTCTCATTATTATTATTATTTTTAGTATATTAAAAGATAATTTTACAAATGAAAGAAGGATGTATAAACATGTATGAACATATTTTATATAATTATATATGTTTATAAATATTTATATATGTTTATGTGTATATTTATATATATTTATACATATATATTTATACATATTCATGCATGGAAAATTTTTTACCGGGAATATAGTAAAATATTATGTATTTTCTCTAATATCTTTGAGAATTGTAGAAAATTTTGTTAGAAGAATATTTGAAAACTTAAACATTATAAGTTTAAAAATTTAATCATTATAAATTTAAAAATGATAAATCGGCGAAGAATCGGAGGGGGGGGGGGAAGCAGGAGATCAGATATCATATTAAAGGATTTTTTATTTAGTGAAAGCTAATAAGATATTCATATAGTTAAATGAGGTCAATGAATATGGAAAAGTTGTAAATTTAGCTACTGATGATTCAAGAAATATATTGGTTGTCCGGAAAGTTCGTGCCGATTTTGAAGGAAAATTGAAACGCAGAAGATTTTTAATATACATTTATTAAATTATATAGATTAGTCGGCACGAACTTTCCGGACAACCCAATAGCTTCCAATTATTTAAACAAAGAACTTCTTCTGTCATTAATTATGAATCAAATGAAATTGATAAAATTATTCAAAATTATGAATTCAATACAGCGGATGTTAAAACTTAAAAAATATCCAGTTATTGCAAGATGTATAGACGTTTTTCATAACATTGAATTTATCAATTTTGACATCAGTTTTATATTCAACGGTCTAAAAACTTTTATGCTTATAATAAATATATACGTGTATATATATATAT